AGTATGTGTTTAGCGTTGATAATGGTAACATTGTTTCCGAAATACGTATCCGCGACTTTTCATTAATTTTTTTGTGGCTTCGAGTTTAATATTTTTTGGTTTTTTAAATTAATAATATTTTTAATATAGTTTTAATTTTACTTAATTAATTAGCCACAAGTGATCAATTTTTATTATAAATATAATTAGTATTTATTCATATATTATATTTTAAAATCAAAGAACTACTAATCATGATATAATTAAAGAAATAAGAGTTAATTTTGCTTTTGGAATAATCCACCAATTTCCTACTTTAAAAAAAAAAAAAATTTGGTTGGGAATTTTTTTTGCTATTTGCCAAAATTACTCCTTCGTTGACTAGAATGAATCATTAAATAGAAAATTTTATGAGAATTAAAACAATGTTATTTTTAAGATTAATATGCAGTCAGAAAGTTTTATAATTATTATTTATTGTAAANCTGCAGTCAGGAAATTTTATAATTACTATTTACAGTATATTTATCAGAAAAACTTATTATTTTTTTGCATTTTCATCGTAATAGAGCACTTAAATAGAAATCATAGTAATCATTTCTAAGTAATTTTAGGTATTTAAAAAGATTCTACTATTAAAATATCCAGAACTGAATTAATTTTAATGATTTACTTTAACTAAAAAAAAAAAATTATTAATTTGAATCCCTCTTAAAGGGATAAGGTAAAGGGTTAGATTTATAAAAAAAAACCAAATAATAGATAAAGACATGCATTTATATAAAAAAAAAATTGTACTGATTTGGTCATTTTTGATAAAGTTTAACAGTTAACAAAGTTATAAGTTTTATACACTGTACTACAAGGAACTTTCATCAGAAACAAAAATATAATATTCTAAATCAACATTTTGCGATGTTTTCAAATATGCAAATAGACTATTTCTATCACTTTTAAGTTTTAATATTATTAAAAAATAGTATTTACGTATAAAAAACAATAATTAAGAACAAAAAAAAATTGTTTTAAATTAATACTGATTTTGATTATTAATATATTAAAAATAAGGAAAATGACATATTTAACCTATTTTTTTAATAGTTTAAAGTTGATTGTTGTAAATGTTTATAATAAAAAAAAAAATTTATTTTACCATAACTTTTAGCTCAATTGGTAAGTTTGACATTGACATAATTAAATAGAAAAGAAAACTTTATATAAAAAAATTGTATCGTTAAGATCAATATGCAGTCAGAAAGTTTTATAATTACTATTTATTGTAAATTTATCAGAAAAGCTCAATATTTTTTTGCATTTTTATGGTAATAGATAACTTAAATAGAAGTAATAGTAATAATTTCCTAGGAACTTTTGTTGTTTGTTNGAAATAGAAATAATAGTTATCATTTCCTAATAACTTTTGGTATTTAAAAAGATTCTGCAATTGAAATATTCAGAACTTAATTAATTTTAATAATTTACTTTAACTAAATGAACTAATCAAAACAAAGTTGTTAAAAAGATTTACTCAATTGAGGTAATATAAAATTTGATTATATTTGTAAAAATCAATTGTTAATTCAGGAAAAAAAATAATTATTTTTTTTAGAAATGATTTATATAGCAACATGTTACAAAAAAATTTGAAATATTATAGTCTAGTAGTAGCACACACAAATAGAGTAAAAAAATTATTAAATTACAAAGTAAAATGATTAAATTTTGTAGTTGAAACCTATCATAACAAACTTAATTTGTCAATAAATATTTTGAAAACATTAGAAATTAATGATTTTAATTGTCTTTATGGAGAACATGTAATAACTAACTGTTTAATTGATAAATTAGAATTTTTTTTTCAATTTTTGAGAGTAATATCTTCAACTAGATACGAATTGTAGTCATTTGACGTATCGTTGAAAAAAGTAGGTCAAGTTAGAGCAGAGAAAATAAATGATAGTCACAAAAAAATATCTTCTCAGCTTTGCATCGAAACTAAAACTTAAAATATAGTAAAATAATTTTAATACGAATAAGAAATTTCTTCTTGCAAGGGGCGACTAAAGTGATNAATTTCTTATTACAAGGGGCGACTAAAGTGATGGGATCGTTGATCTTTATTGAAGTTATTGAATCTAAATGAGATAAAAATCAAACGAGTTAAAAATTTATACTAACTTAAAAAGAATTAAGAAAAAATGCAAAAAATTCATTNAAGAAGAATTAAGAAAAAATACAAAAATTTCAATACCATACGCGGGTTGGAACCTTGTACCCCAACCGTGTAAAACATAAGTTTTACCAACTCGGCAACTGTACGTTGCTACCTACTGTTGAAAAAATTGGCTATTTAAGCTAGTTCAAATTACAAAGTTGTTTTTCTCGACTTAAAAGAAGTAAACAAATTTAAATAAGTTTAACTTTCTATGCTATATTAATTTTTTATTTATATAATATTTATGAAAATCTGTACTCCCCTTGTCAGGTATTTTAAAATAAAATAAAATACAAAACCCAGAATTTTAACACAAAAATAGNAATAAAATAAAATACAAAACCCAGAATTTTAACACAAAGATAGTAAATTTTTTAATACGGTAGTCATTTTTACCATGAAGACAAATCCAGAGGTCAAATTTTTTTTTTCAAATTAAATTATATTATATAAGATTTAATTTAAGATATATATAAAAGTGTCAGTATTTCCGGAACATTTTCAAAAGTTAAGTTGAAAAAGTTCTACTTTCTATACGCATGTTAAAAGGTTTGCACCCCCCCCTGTATAAAGAAAAAAGATCTGATTTAAAAAAAAAGTATGTCGAATGAAAGAGGTATTTATAAAGTATTTATTGTTAAAGAATAGAATTGATTCATGCATTTTTTAAAAAGTTATAGCATCATAATGTTAAAAAATGTAAAATATAATATCAAAAATTTTTTCAAAAAAATAGCATATTTTTGCATACGGTAGTCATTTTCACCATGAAGACAAGNTATTATCAAGAATTTTTTCAAAAAAATAGCATATTTTTGCATACGGTAGTCATTTTTACCATGAAGACAAGTCCAGAGGTCAAATTTTTTTTTTTCAAATTAAATTATATTACATTAGCTTTAATTTAAGATATATATAAAAGTGTCAGTCTTTCCGAAACATTTTCAAAAGTTAATTTTTTGTAAAAAAGTTACCATTTTGAATCCCTTCCTGTGGGCTGTTAAAGGGTCAAATGTTCACAAAAATATATAAAATGATAGGTAAATATCTAAGGTATTTATAAAAAAAAAATTATATTGATTCGCTCATTTTTGAAAAAGTTATGGCAATTTTAACTGAAAAAAATTTCGAAAATTAGCGATTTTTTAATTTGTAATTTTGTTGAAGGTTTCCCCCATTTACGGGGAACGAGGGAATTTTTTTTAATTTTTGAGGGTAATGTCTTCAACTAGATACGATTTGTGATATTTTGACATATTTTTTATCAAAATCGATTCAGTGAGAACTGAGATTGAACGTATACAGACACAAAAAAAAAACATCATAGTAAAATTAATACCTTCTCAGCTTCGCATCGAAAATAAAAAGTAATTTTAAACCAACTAGGATGAAGTTGGATATTTGTATTTGTTATTGTGAACCATTTAAATAAATGTAGATTTAATTTTCAATGATTAATATTTTAAGTTTTGTATTAAATATAAAATTTAAAATGTGCGCTTAAAAGAAAACCTGACTATTTTAATTGATTGGTTATTTTTCATTTAAATTTGTACAAAAGAGATATATGAAATTTATTTTTTCTATAATTGAATGATAGTCATTAGAAAGTCTTAGTGATTAATTGATTAAGATTTATTTATAAATATTACTGAAGTTTAATTTTAGTATATTATTACTTTATTTACAATTATCCTTGATACAACAACACCTATGATTAATACAATTTTGCATATATTTTATTATATTATATTATTACCTATCTATTAACAAATAAATGGACTTTAAAAGTTTTATTTTATAATATTGAGTTGTAGTTTTACTAAGTATAAAAAAATAAATATTAATGTTTAAAAAACTGTTTTAGATCTTTATAACTTATCATCAATTTTTCATTCATATTCTGAATAAAGTTACAGCATTTAAGAGTCTTATTACATTTGTCTAAATTACTACATTGTAGAGTTTTTTTCCTTTATCAAAGGGTCAAACATACATTGTATGACTTTTTTTTCACTTTATTAATATTCATTTTAAGTTACTAAATGTTACAAAATATTACTTTTTCTTATGGAACTATGTACAGGATTCATTATCATGATTATTAAGTATTATACACTTATTTTTTTTGAAACTTTTGAATATTTTTAATTTTTGTAAAGGAAAATATTGTTTAACTTAAAAAAACTACAATAATATGTAGTTAAAAAAAAAAAAAAATTTTTATTTTGTTTTTTTTTTATTTATCCAATCAATTATTTGTGTTTTAAAATTTGAATTTAAGATATAAGTTTATCATTAATTTTATCTTCATAATATTGTAGGCAATATTTTCTGTTTCAATGAATACTTAAATAAGATATCCAAATGATAGATAATAATATTATCTAGATATTATCTAGTTGTACCTATAACAAATGACGACTACTGTTTGCTAAACATCAGATTATTTATAGAAAATCCTTAAAAATCACTAAACTTAAACAAGCAATAAAAAAAAAATAGTTCACTAAATAAAAATATATACAAACAAAATTAATTGAAATTTTTTTTTCTATTATATGATTAAACTAAAAATAGGATTTGCATTAAAGAAAATTTTAATTAAAATTTTTTATCTCTTAAGTAATGAAAAAAAATTTAACTACATATTATTGTAAGGTTTTTTTAAAATAAATATTTTCCTTTACAAAAATCTAAAATTTTAGTATTTTCTAAGAAAATGAGCTCTTATTATTAATGAAACATCCTATATAATTATCTATATTGCCACTGCAATAGTATGCGAAAATTAATAGATGGTACACTGTAGTGTATTCCAACCATCATTTTCAATAGTAACACAAACACAACCCTTAAAAACCGTTATATTCATATTGTTACCCCCTGAAAATTTAACTTTATATGTTTAGAAACATAAGGCTAGGTGTAATTTTTCAACTTTTTTAATAAATAGCTGAATTTAGTTATTTGTTTTTAATCCTAGATAATAATACTATGTATTTTTTGTAAATAGAACTGCCTTGTTCATCCTCAAAATAACCGTAAAGTACCTAATAATACAACATTAATAAAGCTTATTGTTCCTGCATCTCAATGTGGATCATTGATTGGTAAAGGAGGTGTTAAAATAAGAGAAATTAGAGAAGCAAGTGGAGCTATGGTAAATGTAGCATCTGATTTATTGCCTAATTCAACTGAAAGAACAGTAAGCATCAGTGGAACAGCTGAGGCTATCACTGAAGCTATTCATCAAATATGTGTTGTTATGTTAGAGGTAAATAAAGTAAATTTTTTAGCTTTATAAGTTTATAACCAAGAAAAATTATTCTTTCAGACACCAGGTAGAGGACCTACTGTAGCTTACAGGCCTATTGCAACCCAACCAGGGCCTGTTGTTTTATGTGGTGGTCAAGCTTATACTCTTCAAGGATCCCTTGCTATTCCTGCTGTAGGAGATGTAAGTTTTGTTGTATTAAAAAAAAAGTAATTGAATGCATAAAAATTATTTGTTAATGATAAAAAATATATGTCTTAGCAATCTGCAACTACCTCAGCATTAAATACAATAGCAAGCATAGCACCTAATTTAATTGCTGGCTCTGGACTAGATCCATCAGGTAGTTTTATCCTCTTATTATTTAAGTTTTAGATATAATTTCATCAAAGGCATATTTCTTTTTTTTTTTATGTGCACTTTGTCTTTAGGAAAATTAGATGCAGTTTTGTAGCAAAAAAAAATTGTAGCCTTATCTAAAAAAATTCTGTATATATTTTTGAGTTTCATCTACAAATTAATAGTCATTATTATTTTTATAAAACATACAATTAGATAAATTTTATAATCTTCTTATAATAATTTTATGTGTATTAGTACTTGCTGCTCTAGCTGGAAGTCAATTACGTGGAGGTTGTGGTGTTAGCTCTAAAAATACTCAACAACACATCACCCATGAAATGGCTATCCCAAATGACATAATTGGTTGTATTATTGGTAAAGGCGGAACAAAAATTGCTGAAATAAGGTTTGTAGCTTTTTTAATTTAAATTGCCATAAATTTGTCATTCAATTTTTTTAGTAACCTTGTTAAACTCTTTAGCTATAAACATAAAGAATAAATTAAAAAAGAATTATTATATGATATTGGGAACAGGGAGGGACTGAGGAGTATTCAGCTTACTGTGTTAGAAAAAAATTCAGCCCACATCACTATATACCAATTCAGGATACTACTTTTTTTAGCTTCGATGCGAAGCTGAGAAGGTATTGGTTTCACTAAGATGTGTTTATTTTTTTTTTTTTTTTTTTTTTTTTTTTTTTTTTTTTTTTTT